ACAATCACAACGTCCCGGCAAGGGAAAATAATCAATAAACAACAACATCCCGGCAAGGGAAAATAATCAATAAACAACAACATCCCGGCAAGGGAACAATTTAAATACTCTTTCTCTTCCTTTCACTTTTACTTCATATCTCACTTTACCACTTGAGCCAATGCTCCAAAGGGTTCAACCATTTCATAGATATTCTCAATTTTAATATAACTTGAGCCAATGCTCCTCGTAGTTCATAGGTCACAATTTCCTTTCACAAGCTTTTCACAACAAATAGGAATCATCACTAAGGCAAGGGTAATACAACGAAATCAAGATATTCACAATTTAAAGACCCACGGTCATGCTAGACACCAACGTATAGATACTCGTCACCATGCCTATACGCCGTACTCAACAAGAAGCAATTAGCAAATAAGACTCAACTCCTAGTCCCTCAAGCTAGGGTTAAACCAAACACTTATCACAACTTCCACGGCCAAATCAATCCACAACAACCGCTTTCCCTCTCGAATTCGGCTCCAACTCAATCAAATCTATACAATAATGACTTCATAATATCAATATATGCTAAACAAATCAAACCCAATGCCTAATTATAGATTTCCAAGCTTTCTTCCCAAAATCCCAAAAATTGACCCCGGGCCCGCTTGGTCAAAACATGAGGTTCGGACCAAGTTCATATCCCCCATTCACCCACGAGCCCGAATATATAATTTGTTTTCAAATTCGACCCCAAAACGATGTCTAAATCAAGAAAATTCAAAAAGCCCTAACTCTACCCATTTCCCCCAATTTCTACCCTAAATTACATGTTTTAGGCTTAGGAATTTAATAGATATTGATGAAAAATGGAGAAAACGAGTTCAACAATGCTTACCCAAGAAACTTTGGTGAAGAAATGCTTCAAAAGTCGTCTAGAAGCTTTGGAGAAGAAAGGGTTTATGAAAAATTTGATAACTCCCGTAATGGTTCTGTTTTGGGTTTTTAAAAAACAACTGGGCAAATTAACCTTACGCGTTCGCGATGTCGGGCTGATTGGCCTTCGCATTCGCGTATAGCGGCTCGCGTTCGCGGAGAGTAGTTCTCTTGGAGCCTCGCGTTCACGTCCTAAATGCCGCGTTCGCGATGAAGAAGCTAGTGACACCGTCCCCTGAACCCTATGCGTTCGCGTTTGCTGGGTCGCGTTCACGAAGGGTACCCCCCTGAAGCTTCGCGTTCGTGGCTCCAGCTTCGCGTTCGCGAAGAGGAAGCTTGGGCACCTGGGAGATTTTTCTTACGCGTTCGCGAGTGTGCCCACGCGAACGCGAAGAACAAAACCCCTGGGCACTGAACAGCAGAAACCTGCAATTTCTATAAGTCTAAAACCACTCTGAAACACCTCCGAAACACTCCCGAGCCCTCGGGGCTACTAACCAATCACATACACTAACTCAACAACATCCTACGAACTTACCCGTGCGATCAAATCGCCAAAATAACATCATATACGTTGAATTAAGCTTCAAAATCCATAATTTCTTCCAAATTTCATAAAACATCAAATTTTCCATTTTAAGTCCGAAACACGTCAAGCGACGTCCGTTTTCAACCAAACTTTACAGAAAGTGCTTAAATCATATATAAGACCTGTACCGGGTGCCGGAACCAAAATACGGGCCCGATACCAACATGTTCTAACCAATTTTCATATTAATTTTTCCTTAGTAATTTCAGAAAAACAATTTTACTCAAAAATTCATTTCTCGGGCTTGGGACCTCAGAATTCGATTCTGGGCATACGCCCAGGTCCCATATTTTCCTACGGACCCTCCGGGACCGTCGAATCACGGGTCCGGGTCCGTTTGCCCAAAATATGGTAAGTCAAATTTACTCATTTTAATATCAAATTTTAGCATTTATCACAGAATTTCATATTTAAGCTTTCTGGCTACGCGCCCGGACTGCGCAAGCAAATTGAGGCGACTACAAATGAGAATTTCAAGTTCTCAGCACGGAATGAGTGAGAAAACAGGTGATGACCCTTTGGGTCATCACAACACCGGCGACGTAGTCAAAGCTGTCTTGAGCTTCTGAAAGCTCGCCTCACACTCGTCCGACCACCTGAACTGGGCACCCTTCTGGTTCAACCTGGTCATCGGGGCTGCAATAGATGAAAACCCCTCCATAAACCGACGGTAATAACCCGCCAAACCCAAGAAACTCCGAATCTCTATAGCTGATGTGGGTCTAGGCCAATCCCTGACTACCTCAATCTTCTTAGGATCCACCTGAATACCCTCTGCTGATATAACATGACCCAAGAAAGTAACTGAACTCAACGAAAACTCACATTTTGAAAACTTAGCATATAACTGACTGTCTCTCAGAGTCTGAAGAACGACTCGAAGATGTTGCTCGTGCTCCTCTCGGCTGCGGGAGTAGATCAAAATATCATCAATGAAGACAATCACGAAGGAATCCAAATAAGGCCTGAACACCCGGTTCATCAAATCCATGAATGCTGCCGGGGCATTTGTCAACCCAAATGACATCTCTAAAAACTCATAATACCCGTACCGAGTGCGAAAAGCTGTCTTAGGGACATCAGATGCCCTAATCTTCAACTGATGGTAGCCAAATCTCAAATCAATCTTCGAAAATACCTTGGCACCCTAAAGCTGATCAAACAAATCATCAATCCTCGGCAATGGATACTTGTTCTTGATGGTGACTTTGTTCACTTGCCGATAGTCTATGCACATCCTCATCGACCCATCCTTCTTCTTGACAAACAACACAGGCGCACCCCAGGGCGAGACACTAGGTCTAATAAAGCCCTTATCAAGCAAATCTTGCAACTGCTCCTTCAATTCTTTCAACTCTGGCGGGGCCATGCGATACAGTGGAATAGAAATGGGCTGAGTGCCCGGAGCCAAATCAATGCAAAAGTCAATATCCCTGTCGGGTGGCATCCCCGGCAGGTCTACAGGAAATACCTCTGGAAACTCACGAACGACTGGTACGGAATACATGGAAGGAACCTCTGCACTGGAATCGCGAACATAAGCCAAATAAGCCAAACACCCCTTCTCGACCATACGTCGAGCCTTCATATAAGAAACAGCCCTACTGATAGAATGACCAGGAGTCCCTCTCCACTCCAATCGAGGCATCCCCGGCAAGGCTAAGGCCACGGTCTTGGTGTGACAGTCCAATATGGCATGATAAGGTGACGGCCAATCCATCCCCAAGATGATATCAAAATCGACCATATCCAAAAGTAGGAGGTCTACACGGGTCTCATGACCCCCAATAATAACTACACACGAGCGATAGACACGATCTACAATAATAGAATCACCCACCGGTGTGGACACATATACAGGAGCACTCAAAGAATCACGAGGCACAACTAAATACGTAGCAAAATAAGATGACACATATGAGTATGTTGACCCTAGATCGAATAGAACTGAAGCATCTCTACTGCAAAATGAAACCATACCTGTGATAACGGCATCGGATGCCTCAGCCTCAGGCTTGGCTGGGAAAGCATAACATCGGGGCTGGCCCCCACCACTCTAAACTACATCCCTGGACGGCCTCCCGCTGGCTGGCCTCCACCTCTAGCGGCCTGACCTCCACCTCTAGCACCTCTACCTCCACCTCTAGCTGCCTAACCCCTACCCCTAGCTGGCTGAGCGGGCGGTGGAACACCCGGTGCCTGAACCATGGCACGAGAACCCTGATGCTGAGAACTGCTCGACGCTCGAGGGCAAAATCTAGCAATGTGCCTCGGATCGCCACAAGTATAACAAGCCTTCGGCTGCTGGGAATGCTGACCCTGACGGCCTGAGTAACCACCCTGAAAACTATGGAGTGGAGGTGCACTGATAGGAGCTGGCGGTGCACTGTAGGGTAGCTGATCAGAATACTGCATATGAGAACCACGACCACTTGAAGCACCGTGAGAAGCCTGAAGTGCTGAAAGAAACGGCCTGGGAGGATGGCCCCTACCAAAAGAATCCCTGCCTCCAAACGAGGCACCACTGAACCTACCAGAATGACGAGGCCTCTTGTCAGACCCCTGACCACTCCCCTGAGATAGAACTACCTCAACTCGCCGGGCCACATTGGCCACATCCTGAAAAGAGATCTCGCTACCCGTCTCCTTAGCCATCTGCAATCTAATAGGCTGAGCTAGTCCCTCAATGAACCTCCTCACTCTCTCTCTCTCTCGATGGGGATTATAAGAAGAGCATGACGAGCCAAATCCACAAATCTAGTCTCGTACTGGGTGACAGTCATAGAACCCTGCTGAAGATGCTCAAACCGCTTGCGATAGTCCTCTCTCAGGGTGACAGGAAGAAACTTCTCGAGAAATAGCTGAGAGAACTGGTCCCAAGTCAAGGCAGGCGAACCAACTGGTCTAGTCAACACAAAATCATTCCACCATCTCTTGGCGGACCCTATCATCTGGAATACCGCAAAGTCGACCCCATTGGTCTCGACTATCCCCATGTTCCGCAACACCTCATGGCAGCGGTCAAGATAATCCTGGGGGTCCTCAGATGCTGCCCCAGTGAAATGAACCGGGAAAAGCTTGGTGAACTTATCCAACCTCAACAAAGCCTCAGAAGACATAGATGAGCCACCAACGGCCTGAGCTGCAACAACTGGCTGAGCTACTCCCACTGGCTGAGCTGCTGGAGTCTGGAACTGAGGAGCCATCTGCTCCGGAGTGCGAGTAGCAGGAGTTTGTGCTCCTCCCCCAGCCTGAGAGACGGCTGGTGCTACAGGAAGTATGCTTGCATAGGTGACACTCTCCATAAGGCCCACTAGACGGACCAGAGCATCCTGAAGTACCGGGGTAGCGATGAACCCCTCTGGAACCTGAGCTGGCCCTGCTAGAACGGTCTGAGCCGGAACCTCATCCTCAAACTCTACCGGAGGCTCCGCTGATGGTGCTGCTGCTCGAGCTCTAGTCTGAGCCCTACCCCTGCCTCGGCCTCTAGCACGGCCTCGGCCTCGTCCTCTGCCGCTCGTGGGAGCTGCCACTGGGGCTCGGGCTGCTGATCAGCGGATGAAGCGGTACGGTTCTCGCCATCTGCGAAAGGACAGAGTAGAAGTTCAATTAGCATTGAGAAGTGAAATTGCACGACAGAGAAGAATAGATGTGAAGTATTCCTAAACTTTGTAGCCTCTAGGGATAAGCACAGACGTCTCCGTACCGATCCCTCAGACTCTACTAAGCTTGTCCGTGAATTGTGAGACCTAAGCAACCTAGAGCTCTGATACCAACTTGTCACGTTCAGGAATCGTGATGGCGCCTACTCGTGAAAGCTAGGCAAGCCGACAGTTACAGTTTTACCACATTTGTTGTTAATCAAACAGAAACAACTAATAGCTAAAACCAAACAAATATGAAATGAGGAATTGATATAACAGTTCAACAACTCTAGTACATAACTACCCCAGTGATCTGGTGTCACAATCCACGAACGTCTAAGATTTTCTACAAATATAAGTTTGAAAGAAGTACATTTGTTCTCAAAATAGAAAGAGACAAGAAAGACAAAAATGGCGGAAAGGGAAGACTCCAGGCTCTGCGGATGCTGGCAGATCTACCTTGGGTCTCCCTGGACTGAAGACAACAACCTCAAATCTACTCACAAGGTCCGGCACCGAAATCTGCATAAAAAGTGCAGAGTGCAGTATCAGTACAACCGACCCCATGTACTGGTAAGTGTCGAGCCTAACCTCGGCGAAGTAGTAACGAGGCTAGGACACGACAACCATATAAACCTGTGCAATTAAATCATATACGAGCAGAACAATAATAATAGAAAAGTATCAGATAAAGATGGGAAGGGGAAACATGCTGCGGGGAATATCAAATTCTGACAGTAATTCAACAGGGAAGCAAAATAAACACCATATTCGAATCATTAGGAACAATGAAATAGTAACACGTGCACGGCATCACCCTGCGTGCTTTTACTCTCGTCCTCACTATAAGAAACAACAGAAACGGCACGGCATCACCCTTCGTGCATTAACTCTCATAATCATGGCACGGCATCACCCTTCGTGCATTAACACTCACAGAAATAGGCACGGCATCACCCTTCGTGCATTAACACTCTCTCACAATATCGTGCACGGCATCACCCTTCGTGCTTTACACTCTTCCTCACCCAAACAATAGAAATAATAACATCCCGGCAAGGGAATCAGCTATAACCAATCTCGTTTCAACAGTTAATTTCACAATGTAAATCTCAACTCGAGTCAATACTCAACAATTATCCAATGCCAAGAAGAATATCATAAGACTAGTTCAACATGGAGAATTATCAGTTTAGACATGATTAGTACATAATAAGAATCACAACAGTCACAGTTTAAGACTCACTTGCATGCTCAATATCAACGTATAGATACTCGTCACCACACCTATACATCGTATTCAACACTAACACGTAGCAAATAAGACAACACACCTATTCCCTCAAGCTAAGGTTAGACCAAACACTTAACTCGATTCCACGACCAAAAATCAAGCCTCAACTACCCCTTTTCCTTTGATTTCCACTTTCAAACCGCCCGAATCTATGCATAATTAACTAATTAACACCAATTAACGCTAAATAAACCAATTCTAATGCATGAGTATAGATTTCCCAATGTTTTCCCCAAAAAGTCAAAAACCGACCCCGGGCCTGCTTGGTCAAAACTCGAAGTTCGAACCAAAACCCGACTACCCATTCACCCACGAGCCCAAATATACAATTGGTTTTGAAATCCGACCTCAATTTGAGGTCCGAATCCCCAAATTTCGAAATTCCTAAATTCTACCCAAAAACGCCCAATTTCCCATGAAAAACCCTAGATTTTGAAATGAAATCATGTAAAAGATGAAACAGATTGAATAAAATGAGTTAGAAATCGTTTACCTATGATTTGGGGAAGAACTCTCCTTAAGAAAATTGCCTGTGGGAGCTTAGGGTTTGAAAATTTGAGAAGTGAAGTGAAAATCACGTCCAAATGATGTTTTGATCAGTTGCAGATGTCGCATTTGCGACAAGAGCTTCGCAATTGCGAAGCTCGCAGTTGCGAGACAGGCTTCGCAAATGCAAACCTGCTGCAATGTCTGCTTCTGTCGCAATTGTTGACTTCGCAAATGCGAAGGAAATGTTCGCAAATGCGAACTGTGCTGGCCAGGGCTTCTTCGCAATTGCGATAAAGCCCTCGCAATTGCCAAGCCTGTGAGGCTCGCAATTGTGAAGCCTGACCTCGCAATTGCGAGATCAGAGCCTGCAACAAAATACCAGATGCAACAGAAATTTTTTCTAAGTCCAAACTCACTCTGTGGCCTATCCAAAACTCACCTGAGCCCTCGGGGCTCCAAACCAAACATGCACACAAGCCTAAAAACATCATACGGACTTGCTTGTGCGATCAAATCGCCAAAATAACATCTTAAACAACGAATTCGCCAAAACTCATGAGATTCATAGGATAGTTCAAAATTTCTATTTTCTTAACCAAGGGTCTGATTCATGTCATATCAACTCCGTTTCTTACCAAATTTTACAGTACATACTAAATCACTATAACCTGTACCNATTTTACAGACATAACTTAAATACCATATTAAACCTGTACCGGGCTCCGGAACCAAAATACGGGCCCGATACCATCATGTTCAAACATTATTCAATTTCTAAAACTCCTTATATTTTTCGGCAAACAATTTTCTTCAAAAATTTATTTCTCGGGCTAGGGACCTCGGAATTCAATTCCGGGCATACGCCCAGGTCCCATATTTTATTACGGACCCTCCGAGATCGTCGGAACACGGGTCCCGATCCGTTTACCTAAAACGTTGACCAAAGTCAACTTTAATCAATTTTAAAGGCAAATTTCCACATGTTTCTTAAATTTCACATTAAAGCTTTCCGGAAACGCACCCGGACTGCGCATGCAAATCGAGGGGGAAGAAAATGAGGTTTTCAAGGTCTCGGAACCCGGATTCAAATTCTAAAACACAAGATGACCCCTTGGGTCATCACAAACTATAATACTGAACACGTCTTATATGAGTCCAAATAGTAATAACTAAATTTATAGACGAATTTAAATCCTTGTGGGTATCACATGTATGTTAAATATTACTTATAATTTTATATACCAAATAAATGAAATTATGATTAAATTTCTAAGGGGTATAAATGTCGGTTATTGTTATGAGGATATTTTTGTAAATTAATATTTATCAGGGAACATTAATTCTTTTAAAATATGAACATTTATCATGGAACATTAATGCTTTTAAAATAATATAGATAGATATAGATAAATCAGGTCAATAATAATAAAATTAGGAACTTTCCCAAACACATTAAAGATTAACAAAAATAAAACAAATCACAAAATACAAAAAGAGGTTAAAAATCCATGTACACAATTTGATTATATGCATATACATCTTACGTAAAATATAAAGAAGAGGAAATCATGGATGTGCCTTTCTAATCCAAGTAGGATCAACTTTGTAGGGCAAACGTATGTGTAGTTTAAATCGAAAAAGAATTCCTTTATTTGGTAATTTACAATTAGATCCTTAAATTATACAAATATTTAAGGGCATAAAAGGTGATCAATATTTTAGGGATATTTTAGTCGTTCAACATTTAGCATAAATTATTCGTGCTTTTATAATAACTAGTTACTATGTACGTGCGTTGCACATAAATCTTTAGTCAGAACTTTTATGTGAAAGAACAACTAACTAAATTTAGTAACAATTTACTTACAAGATGATATGATCATTGCAAAGTAACTAACGTGATAAAAATACATCATTTAAATGCTAAAAATTAATATTATTACATTAATACAATACTTCAAAATGATATATTCTTAACCTACAAAGATGATCAATTTAGTTAAGTTAAACAATATCTTACTTATATTGTAAAAATATTCAGCGTGGTAGTATCATATCTAATACTTCTTTATAGAGGACATTTTTGGTGTATGTTTCCTTCTATAACTTTGGTTTCTCCATCTCAAAAGTAAAACATATAATTGTCCATCTTTGAATCACCTCCAAAAAGTATTACTTTGTCACTACTGCACTTTGGCATATTGATAATAGGTGAATTTGACTATAATCACACCTTAAATAATCACCTTCTTGTGTAGTTTTAATGTTAAAAGTGATGACAAAATGCTCTTATTAGTGCTTTTCATGATTTATAGGTGATATATGTATAAGGAAGGCTAAGGAGCAGTTTTGGAGTCAAAAGTGATGAAAAAGAGGCCAACTGTGAAATTTCCCAAGTGACCCGTGCAAAACAGGCCGAAGATTCAGAGAATTGGATCCACCGCGGTTCCACCGCGACCGCGGCAGAACCGCGGTGGGAAGCAGCTGCAGAAGATTGAGAATCCGCGAGGGTGTTTGGCCGCGGTTCTACCGCGACCGCGGCAGAACCGCGGCAGGCGCAGTAAACTTCAGGGACCAAAGTGTCAATTACGGAATTTTTAGACCTAAACCCTATTTAAAACATTAGACTTCGCCCAAGAGAGGCATGTATTGATTTTTTAGGTTTCTTAGCAAGGAAAACGATTGTGAGAAAATACTCTAAACATCTTTCTTCTTTTCTTTTGATTTTATGATGAATTCAATCTTAGTTTATTTACCCATAGCCATGAGTAGCTAAATTCCTTGTCTAAGGCTTTGATGGACCCTATTGGGTGATGAACTTCTTGTTTATGTGAATACAAATTGCTAGTTTAATCTTTATCTGTTCAACTTCGTGTTCGTTGTAGTTAATTGACAGGATCCTCAATTAGCTGTGCCTATTTAGTGTGCATAACTTGGAAAAGAGTGCATATTTAGGGTATTGTTGAACAACACCACTCCTAGATTATTAGAGGAATCTATAATTGCGGGTTTAAAGGCAGGATTAGGGATAACGAAGCCTTGGGTGTAATCTAAGTGAATTGTGCTAAATAAAGTAAGCTAGTGTATCTCGGGAGAGTGCAATAGTAGATTACTGTGATTACTCGGGAGAGAATTGCGGTAAGATTAGCGTTCAT